ATTATTTTAATAATTGATTTCAGTACTATGGGTCTGTACTCCACCATCAGTCCTAGCTATAGTAATTTTATTTCTTTTTTGTCACCCCAAAATTCACTATATGATGAATAACCCATTTTAGGAAAAGTCATACATAAGAGATGATGGAGTTTTATTCTAGCAGAGTTACATCACTTTTAAAATGCCAAGAGGTCAAAATTACCCCCTTGGTAGTTTTAGTTTTCAGCCACTGTAGATGTCCAGATGGATTCCTCTAATGCAACCTTCTCATTTATGTTTTTAGTTGACATTAGTTATAAAAGTTTAATATTACGTGTAGTTTTGGAATTGCGTAGTTTTGCACCTGTGGCTTTGATATCATTGTTTAGCAGTGTGTGAATCTGAAGCCTGTTATTGAGTGTACAATTAGAGAGAGACAGCAATAAGTATGTGGGTAATGACTGTCCATTACTTTTTAAATGTTTTACTAATCCATCTGTTGGATACTGTGCACACTCTACAGCTCCACATTTGTTTCATTAAGGACAGATTTGGTATATTACACAGTTACACATGCACTTGTCTCTTTAATAGTTGTTTCTGCTGGAGAGGGGCTCACCTCACTTAGAGGCTTGGTGCACCCATAGGCAACCTATTAACATCCACTTTATCCGTCCTTCCATATTTCATGAACTAGTTCATCAAACTTTAATGCAGTTCTGCTTCTCTCTCTTTTTGGAAAGCCTTGTCTGAATTGAAAGCCTCACCTATAAGTCGTTTGCTGGAATCTTTACCACAGCTCAAAGAGGAAATTATATATATACTCTTTTGAAGCAAGGTTACTTTTCACCTCTTCCTGTGCACGCTGTCAATGGGCTATCTAAAAAATTGGGAATGGATGGATTATGGCTTGAGAAAGAACATGTTTAGAGATGTGAAATGATTTCACAAAGCCAACAACTAGCTGAAAGAAACTGATGGGCCAAGCACCAGTGGTTTCTCACTCTCCATGGACATGGCATTCAAGCTGCTATGCCACACCAGAGTATGTCTGGGATAATGTGCTACTCTCAGATTGTTGGAGTCTTAATGAGCCTGTGGGACACATGATTAGCCTGTGCCCAGACCTGATATCCAGTAATCAGAGCCAAGCACCAGTAGATGAATAGAAAGAACTGGAGAAGATTGGAATGGACAAAAGTAGGCCCAGTATAGATGTGTGTGTCCATAATATGTGGGAAACACAGCTGGTGTTTGAGCGCTTTTTGTACTGAAGGAAAAAAAACGGGGGGGACCGTTTCATTGTGAATAAAAATGATTTTAAAAGGGTGCACTGAATACGGCAATCACTATGAACAAACTGCATTTGCAGCTTTACTGTATGCTACTGATGATTTCAGTTCGACTCCAGGTCAGTGTGCTGTATTTTGAAATGATTTTCCTGGTAGCAGAGCAAGGGCGGACACGTAGTCTGGAAGTCTAAGAAGTGTTGGGCTTAGTTTATGGTCCCTGCATTCTGGTTACCTTTGATAGCACATTAGTTTTAAGCTTATACAAAAAGAAGAAAAAAATTGTCTTTGGTGTTCAGACTCAAACAAATGCTGTGTTACCAACTTTTTATAAGCTTCGTTTTGTCCATCCATCCATTTGCTTACCTTTTTCAGGGCCGCTGGACCTTATCCCAGCTATCATAGGGCGAGAGGCAGGGTATACCCTGGACAGGTCGCCAGTCTGTCGCAGGGCTAGCACACAGAGACAGACAACCATTCACACCTTTGGGCAATTTGGATTAATCAATTAACCTATCCCCACAAACTGCGTGTCTTTGGATGGTGGGAGGAAGCAGGAATACTCGGAGGGAACCCGCGCAAACACGGGGAGAACATGCAAACTCCACACAGAAAGACCCCGGCCTGATGGTGGAATTGAACTCAGGACCTTCTTGCTGTGCGGCAACAGTGCTAACCACCGTGACACCGTGCTGCCGTTCTGCTACGTTTTGTTAATTGATATAATGTTTCAGTGCTTGCATTGTAGAACATAATCACTAAAAACCAAACCTTTTACTGGTTGCACTCATACAAGCAAGAACTAGAATGCCTTTATTAGTAGTAATTATTCATTTAGTTTTGAAATATTGTTTTGGTGCTAAGTAATATAACAGATTATTTGATAACTGATTATTTGATTTGTTTTCAGCGATAAAGTAATTCTCTGCACATACTCTATCAACTGTCACTTTAAAATAATATCTTTGGATTTGGACAAACCTGTATAAAAGACAATGCAGGTTGTTTGTTAGTCCATTTGTCTCGTCAGATATACTGCTTCCCCTGTCGATTATGGCCAGTTAGAGGCAAGTAAAGGCATGCTATAAGGGGATTAGCTGTAAACCAACTGGGACTGAAAAATATACGCCCACAATGAATAATTGAGAGTTTAATGAGACGAGGCAGAGCTAAAGAAGTGACCTAGTTGGTGATTAAGTGAGTAGCGAAATGAAAAACTCAGTATGGCTACCTCTTTGTTATGCATAAATTAGAGAGCCATACCTCAGTCATATGTCTCAGTCAGTGTTTAGTTTACTGCTTGCTCTTTTTTCAAAGAGGGAGTTTATGAGTTGGGTTAGGAAAAAACAATAACCTAAATGGCCTTGCCTAAATGGAGTCTAACATCTGCTCTGGTAACCATGGCATGAGCTAGGACAATAACTCAACTGCCAAAAACACTATTTACATAGCAGCAGCAATAGGAATTAACAGACTTCATTATCCATTATTTCAGAACGATTTTATCCTTTTCACAACTTGACAGTTTAGCTTACTCGTCGTTTTGAAGATTTGGTGTGCATTTGTTCTTGCTATTAGCAAATAATCAATAGAACAAAATGAACAAGGACAAAAATGTTCTCATGCCATTTACTGGGCTCTGGATCTGAAGAAATGTATAATCTTGTACATCGCAAATAAAAATTCAAAACAAAAGCAAAAAAAACAACGAAACAAAAAAAACAATTTAATTAAAAAAAAAACAACACAATCACATTTTTTTAATCAGAAACTTTGTTGCTAAAGAAAGCTTTTAGGTCCGATCAAAACGAGATCGAGATCAAAACGAGTAGTCAGAAGTCAAGTAAACCAATGCACGTATTCATATAACAGAAAACTCCTGGCCCTTGTTGAATATTATGCCATGTGACTATTAGTAGTCTGCTTAGTAGTCTGAATAATTAAGGTGATACTCTCAGTGAGGTTGTATTGAACTATAGTTGTAATTTTTCTTTTGTATCCAAGATACAACTTAAATGGAAGATTAGAGAAGAAAATAAAGGCTCTTTTGGGATATTAAAGCAAACAAAGCCGCAAAAGTGTTTAAAATTTATTCATGACTCAGATTCTACATGAAGCATTAGAAAATCTTCTGATTCTGCTTTTCCTGCTTGGTATTTTTATCATTCACTGATTCAACATTCAACTAGTCTCATCAGATCATTTGACCAGTAAATTTACAGATATAAATACCTAAACAAATCTTAAGATAAAATACTCTTTGATAGAATATAAATTTTTATTCATACAAACAAATTTTATCCGTGCATGTAATCGGGCATGTTTGACTTTGCCAAAATCAGACATGTAATGTAATTTATTTGCAAAATATGCTTTCCATTAGATAAAGGTATGCCATGGAGGGACAGGGTGATTGGGTTTTAAGATTTGAAGTTTCTTGTTTCAAAGTGTCTTAAGTTCCCTTACAGCTTTATTTGAGATTTTTGACTGTGTGTGTGTGTCTCTATGATACTCTGGTGTAAATTTGACTAGAGAGCCAGGCTTTGTTGTAATTTTTAAAGTGGTTTAGACCAATGAAACTCTAACTACTTTTCTGCTCATTTTAAGACCAATCTTTGTACTTGAACATTTTTAGAGGAATGCCACTTAACAATGACTTATGCAGACCAACCACGTGTTTATTCATGGACATTAAACATACCATAATATAAAACAAAATAAAACAATATAGCCCAGCGGTGGGACATGGTTCCAACAACAGCCTCTTATGTTAACTGGCAACTAATTGACTCTCACGCCATACCATTATCTGAGGTTACTAAACTTATCACGGCCGCGGTGACAGACATGTGGAGTGGCGAGAGAAAGGACCCAAGTGCAGGCACTGACGAATGCTTATTGCGAGTGAGCTTTATTCACTGTGGGGAAAACGAAATACAAACAAAAGCTGAACATGGCAGCGACTAAACTAAAACAAAACCCAAACTGGGTGAAACTAAAAAATGATACAAAGGAACAAAAGCCTGGGACTAGAAACCTGCGAGATGGAACAAAAACCTGAGATGGGAACCTGAAGACAAGTGACGAGGAACATGGAGGCTGGAACATTGAGAAATACAACGAGTGGAACACAGATGAACCTGCAACACACAGAGGAAGACACAGGGCTTAAATACAGTTGGGACAAATTAGACATAATGAGACAAAGGAAGCAAACCAGAATACACTGACATAAGACAAAGACTATCAAAGTCAAACAGGAAACACGAGACATTCGCAAAGACGTAGACTCAGAGACATGGACTTGACACAGAGACATGACTGACTGGATATGAAACATGCAACACAGGGAAGACACAGTGACCGAAACTAGGAGCTAGAACTACAAATATAAAATGAACAGAAAACCATCAACAAAACCAAAGCCATGAATAACAAATAATCAAGGAGTATAACTTAAACACAAAACACTCGGTCACCAAACCCAGGATTGTGACAAAACTAAACTACACACACATCTTATCTAATAACTTTTACTAACATCTGATCAATATTGTAGACATAATTACAATAATTACAATTATTAAATTAAATATTTTCCTGTTTGGAATATCTTTAAAAGGGCACTCAGGATACCTAAGGACTCTTTTTCTGGTACATTATCAAGAGAAAACACAGGTAAGGCAATCTTGTCCTCAACTTATGCTATACGTTGTCTCCCCTACCCATTAGGTTACACATCAGGAAAGAAAGGGGACCGGAGGACCGGGGGGAACCAGCACCCCAGTCTGCCAATCCAGAGGTACCGCCCCTCATCTCCACTCAACATTGTAGAGGCATTGTAGAGGTGTGTCAACCAAGACAGCTCTACAACATCCAGAGCCTTCAGGAACTCAAGTGGACATCATCCACCCCAGAGGCTCTGCAACCAAGGAGCTGTTTAACTGCCTTAGTGACCTTGCTCCTGGAGATAGGTGAGTCATCCCCTTCGTCCCCAGACTCTACTTCCTCCATGGAAGACGTGCCAGTGGGATTAAGGAGGTCCTCGAAGTATTCCTTCCGCCCGACAATTTACTCAGTCAAAGTCAGAAGGTAGAGCACTTCTTTCTCCTCCTGAGTTGCCTGATGGTTTGCCAGAATCTCTTCAATGCTGCTTCAGCCACTGCCCGAGCCACTTTCTGCATGGCCCGTCGGTAGCTATCAGCTGCCCGATAGGACTCCTTCAGCCTGGTGGCTCCCTTCACCTCTGGTGTCCACTATTTGGTTTGGAGGTTACCAGCACGACAGGCATCAACCACCTTGCGTAGCTTAGTGCAGTGGCTTCAGCAATGGAGGTGCTGAACATGGTCCATTTGGTCTCAATGCCCCCACTCTCTCTTGGAATGCTGTTGAAGATCCTGCAGAGCTCTCCTGGATATACAGTGGTCCCTCATTTATCACTGTAGTTACGTTCTAAAACTAAGCCGCGATGGGTAAAATCCGTGAAGTAGCCAACTTTATTTTTAACAATTATTATAGATGTTTTAAAGCTGTAAACCAGACAGGCATGAAAATTTTCACACTTTTCTGTCCTGTTTAAACACTCTCAAAATTCAAACTTTCATAGAAAAATAAGTCCAGTATTATAGAATGAAACCAAGACACCCACAGGTTCCTTTGACAGTGGAAAACGTTTCATCGACATTGCTGTGCTTTTGGGGAGAAAACTTGCAAACATACAGTACAGCACTTCAGAGTCACACTGCTAGCGATAGAAGATGTATGTAATTTTAACAAGCTGAATGCATTCTGTACTGTACAGGACCACAGCATGAGATTGACTGACAATGGTCTACAGCCAATTAGGACACAGAACACAATGCACTGTAAAAAAAAAAAAAAAAAAAAAAAAAAGCTTGCAAAATTGCACAAAAAGAAAAAAATCTCCGAAACAGCAAGGCTGCAAAAGGTGAACCGCGTTATAGTGACTATGTCCATCTTCCTCTGCTTGTTCACCACTACTATGTTTGGCTGGTAAGCCATCAACAGTTTGTGATGTCCTGGAGGTCCCACAGGATCTTATTCCGTCATTCTCGACCACCCTATTGGGCATGTCCCATTTTGACCTCAGGACTTTACAGCCATATGGTGTCTCCGTATAGTATGCCAGCTAACTGGCTATGGCGTTCCATGTATGTTATGTGCTGGATTCTCTCACGGGCAACTTTACACAGCCTGCAGCTGGGGTCTTGCCTGGTGTGGTAAATCCCATCCTCTATCGATCTTGTCCTGAGAGCTTGTTCCTGTGCTGCCATGGTTAGTGCATCTGTGCTGTCTTTCAGTCCAGCTTTGTCCAGCCACCGGTAGGATTTCTGCATATCTGACACTTTTTTTATGTGCCTGTCATATATACCGTGCAGGGGCCTGTTCTTTCATGATGGTTCTTCTCCTTCCCCCTCTTCTTTCTCATGTTTCTGCTGCCTGAGGTATTCTCTAATTGCATGGTTGGTTGTGGCCATCTTTCTGATGTACCAATGAATCTTTGTTGTCTCATCCTGAACAATGGTTCTGACACTCACCAGTCCACGTCCTCCATATTTTCAGTTAGGGTACAGTCTCAGAGTGCTGGACTTGACTTGAAACCCTCCATGCATGGTCAGGAGCTTCCTTGTCTTGATGTCAGTGGCTTCTACCTCCGCTTTGGCCACCTTATTATTATTATTCCAGGGGGTTATCTGATTACCAACAGAGTGTAGGTGTTAACTGCCCAAATCTTGTTCTTTCCATTCACCTGACTCCTCACGCCTTTCCCTCTGCAGGTATTTGGCAGTTGCGGCTTTCCTAGAGGCCTCTTCGTGATTCCCATTTGTGGAGCACTGAGTCATAGGCTTTCTTGTAGTTAATCCAGGTGATGAACAGGTTGGTCAGTCTGGTCTTGCAGTCTCAGTCTACTGCTCTACTACTAGTCTGTGGTAGATAGAGCTCATGTATTGAGCCATGTGCCTGTCCATCTTACTCACTATGATGTCTGACAGGAGCTTCTATGTGGTACTGAGGCAGGTTATTGGACAGTAGTTGGATGGGTCAGTCCTGATGTCCTGCCTTCAGTTAGCCATTCTGGGTGTGCCTCATCTATTATCCGCTGGTTCATGTGTGCTGCCAGGTGCTCGTGGAGTGCAGAGAGCTTCTCCGCCAGTAGGCATGAATCATGTCAGGGCCTGATCCTGTCCAATTCTTCATCCTGGAAACCCTTTCTTAGATGTCTGCCACTGTGATGGTTGCCCGTAATGCTGCATTCACGTCTTCTAGTAGACCTTCAGAGGATATTTCACATAGTCTCGGTAATAAGCTATGGAGGGTTCAGGTTTGCAGCTTTCCCATGATCTTATCTTTCCAGTCACCTGCTCTCGCACTCAACAATCCTTCTGTTGTATTTGAATCTTGGTACCCAATCTCGGGTGGAGTGAGGATATCCCCCCCCCCCCCGAGCTGGCGTCCTGGCTCCCTCTTGCCATGGCATTTATATTGTGCATTTTTTAGTACCTCATCTATCTCAGCTATGATACAGATTCCTTCTTCTGAATATTGAAACACTGAGTTACGAGTTGTATTTGCCATCTGTCTGGCTGTTGGTTATTGAAGATTCCATAGGTCCCACAGCCTCTTCCTGTAATCCCTTCCACTGGGGTTACTTGCATAGTAGCATTGCAACAGCACCCTGCTGTCATCTCTTGCCCACTTCTGCCTTTATGTTCCAGTAGCCCATATCTCATCAATGTGTCCTGGTTCCTTATCACCATACAAGGATTTTGTTAATCCCGGCAAAGTCCGACCCGGTGTGGCTTCAGTTATCTCTCTCTTGCTCATATCCGAGGATTGGTTAGCAGGGAGGGTCTAACTAACCACCATGGGAGATGTCATGTTAAAATGCTCCATAGCTGCTGATTCTTTTACATTTTTTTGCCTTTTTGGTTGTTCCATAATCTGTTTACAATCTCTAAAATAAAAAAATTAAAGAAGTTAATGGTGGCCCCAGACTTGTGCATAGTCTGATTTCACAAGTCATTGCCAGGTTAAAATTGAAAATTTCAGTGATTAGTGCTTTTGTAAGAATGAACATAATTGACCAAAACCAAAACAATTGTCTGTTCAGACATCCTGTACTTTGAATAGAATGTATGTAAAAGTATGTGTCTTTATCTGATACCTTTTGTCTTTATCTTTTTTTTCATCAGACTTAAGACATCAGTATTGCTTTTTTTTACACTTTCTCACCAGCATTGATAAAAGTTGCCTCCCATGCACCTTTTAACACCCCACTCTTTAGTAAACTGTCATTGTCAGCCAGCCTGTTGGTATGTTTTTGTTTTCCCAATATCCCTCTATAGGCTTTAACCATTTATATCATTTATAGGCAATATGCGCAAGCACACAGACATTCACACAAAAGTGTCCATAGGGAACTGAAGACAATAGCAGTTAAATGATCTGGATTCCTCCAGGACACAGTGGCATTCAATCACCGGAGACAGTCCTGCCCCAAGAAATGCACACAATGATAGCACATTATGGAGAGGAAAATGGAGAAATATACAGGGCTTCACAAACAACAGTTTGCTCTGATTCCATGATGCCTTCCGACTACCAGTATAACCCATTAATTATCATTGTGGACTCATAACATGGTTGATTAGTGCCATAAATGGGCTCTGCAGCCATGGACCCACAGTTGTTTGTACAGTAAAATTATGAACACAATGAAAAGTGTGGCAATAGTGGTGATTGATGGTGCTCTTTTTCTTTGAGTCTGTTCATGAATCCATTAGTTTTCAAATGTGCTTAATGTGAAATTGAACTGGAGAATTCTTTGAAAAAAGCAAGAAAAAAAAGCTAATGCAACTTAGGAATAAAAAGGCCATAAAATATTGCAATGTACCATACTTACAATAGTTTTTTCTCCATGCCGTGCATTGGGTCATTAAAATATAATATTAATTTTATACAGAACTCCAAACATGCAAATTTGATATTATCTACTTTATTTTGTTTCTTTTGAAACACTGTTACTTTGCCCATCTTCGTGTTTTATATTTCTAGATTTTCTAAATAAAGTTCTCTTAACAGACAAAGATGCTGTTTATTGATGAACAGGACTCCTGCTCCTGCTGGTCTTTCCATGCCACTGACCACCACCTTCTGAGCGCCTCCTTACGCCTCATTGCTTCCTTGTGGTCCATGGTGTGGTAACTGGCATGCCACTTCCTCTCATCCCCATATCTACCTGTGGGGTGATTGAAACAAGAGTGAGCTCTTGTCAGGGCCTCGGCCACCATGTAATTAAATTCTTCCTTGTTTCACAGAGTGCAACAAAGCATAGCACTGGATAGAGGGTAAATATACTCAGCACTTAGAGGCAAACCTAGATGACTGTTCAACAACAAACAGTACTACAAAAGGGTATTGCTTGGAATCATTTACAGACTTGGTGTTACCTTTAGAGTAAAACACTGACATAGGGCTGGTAGAGATAGTAGTATAGTAGTGACAGGTATAAATCAATAGTCAATATAAATAAAATAGCTTTTTCTGTCAAGCTTAAAATGTCATTTTTACTCCTAACTGAAGTTATACTTTATAGTTAATTTAGATTTTAAATATTTGTTTTCTGTTCTGTCAGAATTTGAACATGATGAGTGTGCTGTAGAACATTACAGAACACTATTTTAAATAATAAAATTAGGTATTAGTTATATATAATAAACAAAATCCTAATTCTGGCTGGTCTAAAATGTAAAGTCTTTCTTTGGTCAGTTTCAAATAAATAACCTAAATATGAATACAAAATACAATCACACAAAAAATTATACTGTGTTAAATTGTTGGAAAACAACCCCCCCAAAAATTGATGAAATCTTTCTTTATATATCCTCTTAAAAAATCAAGAAGCTTTCAAATATAAATAAAGCAGAATATTAACAAACCTGAAATAGTCACT